TATCTTAAATCGACTCCCCCCCTGTAGTGTAGATGTAGCCTGAGAGTCACTCACATGCTGAAGGTGGGGTGCGTTGCTCCCTTTGGGTGTACAAGGCAGGGAGCTCACGGTGCCAAGCAGGGGTGCTGCTGGCGGCTCCAGGGTTTGGCTGAAGGAGGCGGTGAAGCCAAGGGGGCCGGGGCTTGCCCTGATGACAAAGTCAGACCCTAAGGGAGCCTGGCACACGGAAGGGGTCCTCCCAGGGATTGGTCCAGAGCAGGAAGGTGTGGGTGCGGGAAAGGGCTGCTTCATGGGCCCGGTGAAGCCGTTCTGAGCAGTTCCCACCCCCTTTGCTACCTGACTCGCTGGGTTCTGCCCCCGGAGCAGGTCCTGGCTGGAGCGAGAGCATGGGGCTAATCATGGTGTTAATGCGGCTCCCTCCTGCAGCATCACTGCCACAGGGGAGCAGGTTCCCGGGGCTGCGAGAGCCGAGGGCCCTGGGCCCATTTGTGCAGAGGCACTTTCCTGCCCGGCCCCAGCGCTTTCCCCGAGCTCCCTCAACCCCCTGCATCCTGTAACCACTGCTCGGGCTCTGTTCCATGTTCCCCCAGCACCAGCCGCTCCCCTCGGCTCCGGCCCCGGACACCAGCCGGCCTGTAATGACACAAACAGCTCCCGCTCCCAATTCCTGACTTTGGGTGACTTGGGGTGCACTGAGCATGTTCACCCGACCTGAGCATGCCCAGTAACCTTCACAACCAAATGTAAAATTTTACCTGAATATCGGGACAATGTACATCAAGCAGATGTACGCTGCCAGGGGTAATCCCTGCTTGCTAAGGTGGGGAAGTGACCTGGGCAGCAGCTTAGCAGTGCTTAGCCTGAATCAGCGTGTGCAGAGGCAGGTGCCTCCTTTCCTTGGCTCTGCCATGAGCAAGGTGGACCGGTCTGCACCCACTCTGCTGGGGAGAAGGATTAAGCCTCTGACACTTACCTCAGGGACCTGCCGGCCGCTTCCTGGGAGCCACGCCAAGTAAGCACTGCCGGGACCCACCCCTGCATTCCCTACTCCCGCCTTCAGTTGAGGAGGTGAGCAGCGGGAAGGGCGGGGCCGGCCAGGGGAAATGGGGCATGCATGGCATCGCCAGAGGCACACTGGTCCGGCTGGCCCTGTGCTACCAGCATGCCCCTTCCTGTTGGGGGTGGGCCCATGCTGCGCCACACAGTTCCCCTGCCCAGTGCCCCCTGTATCCATTATGCCTTGCACCCCCTGAACCCACTATGCCCAGAGCTCCCCCACAACAAATGCACAGTGTTGTGCACACCACTACCCCTACCCAGCGCCCACCCACCCACAGCCCCACCACACCTGCCCAGCACCCCACACAGAACCCCCCACTCGCTATTTTCCCAATACACACAGATTTCCTCTCCCTTCCTGTGCCTTTCCCCACAGCCCCACCACCACAACTACACAATGCCCCACACAGACCCCCCCCACCCAGTGCCCTGACACACACAGATCTCCCCCACTTCCCAGTACCCCCCCAACAGGCCCCCACTGCCTAGCACCCCAAAACACACAAATCTCCCCCACTGCCCAGCGCCCTCCACACCCTCACAGCCCAGCACCCCCCCCACACCTCCCAGACACTCACCATCAGACCCTGCCCCCTTCCCTGGCTGCACTCACCAGCCCTGCTGGGAGGTCTCCGGCTCCTCAGGTGAGAGCAGCAAGGGAAGTCTCCAGACTCTCCACGTGCTGCGCCCGCCACAAGCGCGAGCTCCGTGGCGGGTGGCTCCCATTGGCCGGGAAAGGCGGGGCGGGGCTTGCAGGCACCGGCAGCACACAGAGTCCCCCCTGAGCCAGAGGGACCTGCCAGGGGGCGAGGTGAGTCCCAGCGGTGCTTACCTGGAGCGGCTCCCGGGAAGCATCTGGCAGGCAGGTCCCTCTGGCTCCTAGGGTCGCAGGTTGGGTCGAGGGGGGAGGGCGGGGGCGGGGGACTCTTTGCCCGCTGCCCGCGCCTGCAAGCCCCGCCCCTGCAGCACGCGGCGGAGACCTCCTCTGGGCATTGCACTGCAGGCTCCTGCTGGCGGGCGGGCGCCGGGAGCTGCGCTGCCCCAGAAAGAAGAGGCGAGCGGCGCCAGCAGCAGCTTGCGGTCCTTCTCCACCAGACGGTCCAGATATCGGGACAAAGTGCGTCCCGACCGATGTAAGGTCGGGACGCGGGACAAGTCCCCTAAAATCGGGACTGTCCCAATAATATCGGGACGGCTGGTCACCCTAGGGTGAAACCCTCATTTTCCCTCTCTCTTTTCTTTTCTATTAACCTTTAATAATGTAACTTCTTGTGTTTAGGCTCCTTGAGTAGTTATCACTATTAGTCCATAAATAACTTTCCTCTTGTGTTTGTATCTTCCACATTTATTCTGCAGCAACGCTTCTTTTACCTAAGCTACAGATCCCTGTAGCGCCCCAAAATACTCTGGGGTTTGCTCATCAAGTGGGTTACTACCAATACAATTGTGATGTAAGCGTGGGGATAGGGACATGCTAAATCTGGGACAAATAAGGGTGTCAGCTTGAAAGTGCTGTTCGACTCATTCCATTGGGCACACAAGCAGTACATTGATAGAATTACACAACCACACCCCCTCCAGAAGAGTAACCCTAATAAATGAGCATACCCCAAAGTATTGTGCAAAGCTGGTCACAAATTCTTGAACAAACACAGGCAGCATGTGACCCTAATCACATGTTAATTGTTGAGTAGTTGCTGCGGAGTAGGGAAACTGAGGCACGGACCTGAGCAAGCTTTCTTTTTCAGACCAAGCTCCTTTAGCAAGGAGTCTCTCTCTCTCTCTCATAGAATATTTGTTAACCTTCTGTTAAGAATCTTGCTTAGAACCCCTGTAGAACTGTGCAATAAGGAGTTAAGAGTTGTGTTCATGTGTATAATGCAAATCATAAAAGCAAATCGCGAGTGTTTTCGACCACCAACCCCCCCCCCCATCCCTCCTGATTCGCAAGCCCTGGACCAGTGGCAGGTGCATGGGCAGCCAAGTCATTGGAAATAGGCAAGGAGGAAGCCAGTGAAAAAAATGAAAGGGGCCACTCTGGTCTCACCTTGGGCTCAGGGGCAGGGCTGTACCCCAAACCTAACCTCCCTTTTCACGTATTCACACCCAAAGTGAAACAGCGCGCCTCAACCATCCAATGGACCCATTTGTCACATTAGCCAGGAGGAAGCAGATCGTGACTGTTTTTGACCAAAAACCCCATCCCTCCTGATTTGCAACCCGGCCCGAGACCCCCAAGCTCCCCCCCGCCGCCCCGCGGAGCCTGGGCTCCGGGCTCCTCTCTCGGGAGCTCGAGTCCCCGAGCGTCACAAACCCCCCTGCGCGGGCCCTACCCGCCGCTCGGCCAATCCGGGGCGGCCCCGCCCCCCGCCCCGCCCGCAGCCCTTTGTCCAGCCGAG